TGTAGCCAGTGTCTCTCTTCTTGGATCCCACCTCCTCTATTTAGAACTGATGAAAAATCTGAATTCTTCCTCAGTTATAAGAAATAAACAGAAAGCCCTTTTTACCTTGTCTCTCTCGGTCAGTTACACCCGAGATAGAACGTTTTAGGCAGCGATTCTGGAGGATGATTCCCGAGTTATGTACATGTGGAGAACAAGCAGAGGCTGGAAGGATGCTGCCTGCAGAAGGAAGCTTTCCTTCCACCTGACAGTGGGAAAACATGTCTCCTTGGTGTTGACGTGACACGGAGCTGTTGTCTCAGGGACATCCATCACCACTAACAGGTAAACACAGGGACCCATCAGTGCTGCTGCCACTGCACACAGTCCCTCTTGGACAAGGAGAACATGCATCTTACTGGAATCCGAGAATTTATTCTTACCCAATGAATCCTTTAACAGTTTAGTCAAAACAGACCCGTTACAGCAACGCTGCCCCTCTGAATCCAAACCCAGGCAGTGCAGAGTCACCTCACCCCAGAACTGCAGCCACTGTTTCCCACTCCAAAGGCCCTACAGTGTTAAACATCTCATTCATGGAAAACCATGATCCAAACAGCTCATCTGGGACAAGGGACCCAGCCTGCCTCAGCCTGCTTCAGTAATCAGTTGTCAGTGCTAATTCTGGGGGAGAAGGGGAGGAGAGGGGACTGCTATGCCTTGGGAAGGCTGAGGTTTGACCCTCTGTGACCATGTCCTGCTCCTGGAGGACTGAACCCCCCAAGTTCAGGCAGCCAGGATCTATGGCATCGCTCCCCTTTGCGCCCCTGGCTCACTCATATAGCAGGGCTTGCAAATTGCTTCCCAGTGCCTTTAGCATCCCATTTCCGGCCCAGAGCTAGATCCCTGAGAACAACTCCTGACTGCACAAACCTCCGCTGTCTGCTAGTTCAGTGAGTGGCTGAAAGGTGGTGGCATTGCTCACCCTGCAGAGGTCAGAGCCAGGAATAACTGGGAGGGAAATGGGGCGGAAGGAAGAAAATGGGGAAACGAGGGGAAAAAACAGGTCAAGGAATAGCCGAGCACACAGGTAAAAGTGGTTCAGGTACGCTCCCTCTGCCCTGGGTCTTCCCACGTAAGGTGTGCAGCCGCTGCCAGCGGGCACTGGCCCAGGCGGCAGCAGGGAGGAGGTGCGCAGC